GAGGGAAGGTTTAAGTTGGACATCAGGAGGCGCTACTTCACGGTCAGGGCGGCTAGGGTCTGGAACCAGCTTCCAAGTGAGGTGGTGCAGGCTCCCACCCTGGGGGTTTTTAAGAGGAGGTTGGATGACCACCTTACTGGGGTCGTTTGACCCCAGTGCTCTTCCTGCCATGGCAGGGGGTCGGACTAGATGATCTGCTCAGGTCCCTTCCGACCCTAGAAACTATAACTATGAAACTATGAAATTGAGGAAAGTCAGCACTGTGAAGTGCTCAGCACCCTGCTTGATCTTCCAGCCCCACCAAAAAGGGTGAAACAAATCAAAACTGTGAATTGTTTAATGCTGTGTTATTGGCTATGGGACTAGTGTGCCACAGAGCAAGTGGTTTCACGTTAATGCAGCTTGTAATGTCCACTCAAAGACGCCAATCGCAGGTAGGAAGCACGTCACGTAAACACTGTAGTGACGCATGCAAGGAGTTGGACTCTGCTCCCAAAAACTGTGGCTGTCTAGGCCTGCTCCACAGATTCCACCATTGAAGAGCGGGTAAAGCTAGTCAAAAAGAGAGATTCAGCAGTGGGGAAGGGACAGCTCAGGATTTTACTCCCCTTTCCTTCCAACACCCTCCTAAAGCTGTGACATACCCGATACTCTGGGAGGAAAGGCCGTTCCTCTCAGGAACCAATAAGAGAAAACACGAGACACCAAAAATACTCACCAGCGAGAAGTAGCAACACCAAGTGCAAGCAACTATTTGCAAATGGCCATGTCAGAGTTGCACTGGCACAGGTAACAAATTTCAAGGGACATTGTGAGAAAGGCCTGCTGGGAAGGCAGTGGTACGACAGGAAAACTGCTGCGGGAAAAGCTTGTGGGATGAGAGGGACAATGGGGAAGGTACTGTAAGTTAGTTCAGTGGTTGAACACCTCAAGCCTGCATTCAATTTGTTACAAGGCCCCCATGTGTTGTGAGCCCACAGGCATGCTTATTTCCATGAAGGTTTCTTGGGCAAGCCTTGGTAGTATGTCTCCAGTAAAGCTGCAAAGTAGGCCTGTGCAAAGCGGCAAGTATTCGATTTGTATTCAGGTGCAGCTTATTTGGAAGGACAGTGATTCGATTTGGTTTTGAGTCGCTGTCCCTGTTCAATTCGGCCAAATCAGATTCGAAGATTCAGCGCCAATTCGGTGATTCGGCCATAGATTATAATGGGGAATCACTTAAATAGGTATAACTTTGTAATTTCTTTGCAGATTTGGATGAAAACAACAGGGATGGTAGCCCCTTCTGAGGGCATGAAGCCTACCAAGTTTCAAGGAGATAGGCACAGGGTTTCTGTGAAAGTGCACCTCAAACTGTTGAAAGCAAAACTCATATCACTTGTGTGTCTTAAGAGGCGTGGGTTGTAGCCTTGTTGGTCTAAGGACGCAGGCAGACAAGGTTCTGTGGGTAGATGTGATATTTTTTATTAGACCAACTGACTAGTTGTAGAAATATATTTTAGCAAGGCTTCGGGTTTAAAAATCCTTTGTCAGGCTGAGGAAGCACCTGCAGTTGGTGTGTATGCTGGATGGAAGGAATAGTAAAGAAGCTAGAGGCTGGCCTGGCAAGCAATGCAGGCGAGAAAGCCAGTCAGTGAAAATGGAAATTGAGGCATCAGGGGGTGAGAGACAGGCTGGGAGGGCGGGGAGAGGGGGGGAGATGTAGCAGGTAAAAGTGGGGAGGTACCTGGGGAGTCAGATGTCAGGCAGGTTATAGTGTGTCTATGAACTTCACTTCATCAACCTCCTAGATACAAAAACTCATGGACTCAAGATAGACATTGGATTTATGACACACTATAATGGTAAAATCCTTGACTTTGCTCAACATCCTGCCCTATTTCACACTCAGCTGCAATAAATCCATGTGGACATCAGTTTTGTACATTAGCCCCCACTGCTGAACGTTCCTGTTCGCTGACTGGGGTCAGCTCTGAACTCCTGAGCTTTCCTAGGGACATCAAGTCACAACCTTAATAAAGTTTGCATGAAGCTCCCTTCTAATCCTGCGGGGTGATCAGGCAGGGCTGCGCAGGTGGGGTTGCAGTGGGGCCATGGACAGCTATCAATCAGATGGAAGGGACAGCTTCTAGGGGGAACTTTTGGGCCTTTATTGCTTTCTTGAAGACTCCTCTCCCAGCACTGCAAAGCTCTGGCCAAAGAGACGCCTTTCACTTGAAATTCCATCCAGTAGCTATGAAACAGAAAGGAGAGAAAGAAGGTGTTAGAGGCGATCACACTCCCAGCAACCAATAGACATGGGATCAGCTCCAAAATGCTTCCCACTTGGATTTTTATATCATAAACATTATGGAAGTCATTGAGGATGTTCACCTGAGGCCCAGTCCTACAGCCACAACTGGACCCAGAGCTTTGTGCCAGGAATCCTCCTGATGAATTTAATTAAGTGATGAAACAATCCTCCTAATGAGCATTCAGTTGAGCCACAACAAGACACATCGGCACCCATTCACTTCATTTTGCTAAACAGCTGCAGAAATCAACCTCAGCATTAAAGGGGGAAAAGGCAAGTTCCTAAAGAAGGTATTTAACGAGATGAGAGGAGGGCTCCAAATTGGATTCATATGTGTACAATTTCAGCACAGAACTCACAACCTGATCTGATTCTTGGAAGAATAACAGGCATTTTATCCCATTAGGTGAGGTCCAGTAGGGCAAGGAAAAGACTTAAGTATCTTAGCTCACCTTTTTGTAATCAACGTGTGAGACAGACAGGCAGGTGCAAACACGGCCCTGTGAGAGAGAAACAGTCAAGTGAAACACAATACACTCCTCACTGTCTACTTACTGCAAGCATCTCCCGTCATCGTCCCAATATGCCATTCATGGCTCTGGTCCCATTCCCCACTTTTCAGTGGATCAGACTGAAATGCCTTGCCTCACAAAGCAGCAAATCCTCAATAGGCATAAACTGTCAGAGCTCCAGTGAGCTCCATGCAGCTGCGTATCTGTTCTAGAGCAGCACCTAAGAGCAGCAGATCCTGGTCCTGGTCCTAATAAGTATAAGATGCTATCCAGCTTGAGGAAGGGTTTTCCCTGTGGGAAAAGCTTGTGGGATGAGAAGGACAATGGGGAGGGTACTTTGAGTTATTTCAGTGGTTGAACACCTCAAGCCTGCATTCAATTTGTTACAAGGCCCCCATGTGTTGTGAGCCCACAGGCATGCTTATTTCCATAAAGGTGCCTTGGGCAAGCCTTGGTAGTACGTCTCCAGTAAAGCTGCAAAGTAGGCCTGTGTGAAGCAGCAAGTATTCGATTTGTATTCAGGTGCGGCTTATTCAATTTGGTTTTGAGTCGCTGTCCCGATTCAATTCGGCCAAATCAGATTCAAAGATTCAGCGCCAATTCGGTGATTCGGCCATAGATTATAATGGGGAATCACTAAAATAGGTATAACTCTGTCATTTCTTTGGTTTTATGGGAGTATGGTCAGACCCCATACTTTTAAATGTATTTTGCACAGGAAAAGCTTTTCAAAAATCCAAACCAATACAATTTCAATAGGAGGCTAATATTTGGTGCACAATAAATATATCTAACAAGTGTTAGGTTTCTATGCCATCAGGGATCAAGATTAGATGAACACACATCCTCTTTTTATGGGCCACTCTCTGCCTTTAGCCACACTCTGTGTGATGGATAGCCAAGAACAGACGCCAGTTTGGGGGATTTTGTCCCTAACAAAGCAGTGTCATACTGACGGGACATCGCGCAGTGAGTTCCTAAGTTCGCGTCCAAGGTTCTGTATATAGTTCCATTGATTTTCTGCCAGAGACTGGCTGCCAAGATGGATACTTTCCAATTTCATCTGCTCTTCATCAAACAGCCACTGGACCACAAAAACTGGAGCTGTAAAGGATGAAAAAAGTCCTAGAAAGGAGTCAGTATTTGACTCTACCACCCAAGGCCAGATCCTGCAACCCTTATCGCTACTGCTACTATATTAGCAGAGTGCCCAGCAATCTTAGTTGTGTACTAAGGCCCCATGGTGATAATGTAAGCACAGAATAAAAGAGTCTCCCTGCCCCAAAGAGCTTCAGAAGTGTGTGGCCTCAGTTAATGGCAGTGGAGGAGCAGAGTCAGGCCCTGAGAGAAGATGCACTTACATTTCAAGGATGAGAACGGCCGGTACCCGAGGAAGCACTGCCATTCATCAGCCCTCTTGAACTGCTGCCTACATTTTTCTGGGAGGATCCCGTTCCACATCCTGAAACAAGATGGCCAGGACACAAAAGGGAGGAGTGAGATGCTGTTACTCGGAACTAACATGGAAAAGAAATATCTGTGCTCATCATCTCAAATGAAAGTTGTCTGGGTGAGAAGATGAATACGAGGAACCTGCCATGTAGCTTCCCATGGGAGCCTAAGATAGGAATGGCATGCTGCTCAGAACAAGGAAAGCTCTCTTATTTAGAAACCATAAATGACTATTTTTTACCCAAGGTGGAGTGGGGCCCCTGGCCAAGGACATGATCACACATGCATTAAAAGACATTGACAGAAACCTACATTTTAAGCTGCATCTGCAAAATATATATGCATGCACTCATCCCAGGTGCCAATCTAAGTGCTTGTGCTGCTTCTCATTGGGCTGAAGGTGGGAATCAGGTAGTAGTTCATAGATTTCATAGACATTAGGGCTGGAAGGGACCTCGGAAGATCTTCAAGTCCAGCCCCCTGCCCCAGGGGCAGGAAACCAGCTGGGGTCATAGGATCCCAGTAAGATAAACATCCAAATGTCTCTTGAAGGCGTTCAAAGTAGGTGCTTGAACCACCTCCAGTGACAGGCTGTTCCAGACCTTGGGGGCTCGGACAGTAAAGAAATTCTTCCTTATGTCCAGCCTGAAATGGTCATGGAGGAGCTTGTGACCATTCGACCTTGTCATCCCTTGGGGCTCTCTGGTGAACAAATGTTCCCCCAGATCCTGGTGAGTACCCTTTATAAACTTACAGGCAGCCACCAGATCACCCCTTAGCCTGAGCTTTTCCAGGCTGAAGAGTCCCATGGCTCTCAGCCTCTCTTCATAAGATCTGTTTTCCTGACCTCTGATCATGTGCGTGGCTCTCCTCTGGATGCTCTCAAGCTTCTCCACACCCTTTTTGAATTGTGGAGCCCAAAACTGGACGCGGTACTCCAGCTGCGGCCTCACCAAGGCCGAGTACAAGGGGAGAATGACATCCTGGGATTTGCTTGAGAAGCATCTATGGATGCAAGCCAGTGTTTTGCTCATTTTACTAGCTGCAGCATCACATTGAAGGCTCATATTCATCCTGTGGTCAATCATGACCCCAAAGTCCCTTTTGTCCATAGTGCTAGCCAGCGTAGCACTGCCAAGCCTATAAGCATGCTGCAGGTTTTTCTTCCCACAAGTTGGGGTTGCAAGAAATTTGCATCTGTGGGGTTTTGCAAGCAAAGCAAGAATATACCTGAGGGTTACAGGCTCAAGTACCTGAGTCCTTTCTTGATTGCATCTGTTGGGGCATGGGAGGCAGCATCTAAGTAGTCAGATTGTCTTGGATGGTTAATGTCAAGAAACCAACCAGAGTCTACAAGCCCTCTGACCTGGACTGCCTCAGCCTCCAGCTCCTCCAGCAGGGCAGCCACCCTCTCCAGGTTCAGTAGCACACCAGTCCCACCAGCACTGAAGAGAGGAAATGCACTGGTTATGTGGCTCCCTGATACAGTGCCCTGCAGCTCTACAGGCTGACAGCATCTTTCACTAATGCCGTCCTTGGCAAATACAGGAGTTCCAAGTAATGCACCTTAAAGCCCCACTACTATTGTATCCCACCTGCCAGGACACAGAAGCAGAAACAAAGAGGTTTTTGACTGAAATTTTTGCAGCATATCCTAGAAATTAAAGGAGGCATCAAGCTTTTTCTTTCCAACCCTTGTCCGCTTCTCTCGCATTCACTAATTGGATTTTTGCAAATACTGTGGCTCATGCAAAGTGTCCAGTAGCCTCCCCTGGAAACCAGAGCCCATCATTTCCCTGCAAAGCAGATGCAATTTAAACCTCCCCCACACCTTACTTGTCCATATGCAAAAACCTCAGGTTGAACAGACTATCTGAGGCCTTGGGCTCATTCACCTCATAGTCTCTCTGTTTAACTTGCCAAAGAGAGACCCAGTAGTGACCACGTGATGGCATTTGTTGTGATGCTGATAGTGGGAACTGGACTAACCACTTGACTCCCACTGACTTCAGTGGCCTTTAGATCAGGGCCTCTGTCCAGTTTCAAGTACTACAGCTATGCAATCTGCATGCCGACTTCAGCAGAGGTTGGAGCACTAATCCATTTCATAGGGCCACTCAACATCCAACACAGAAAACTCTGCAGTCTGTAGCTGGAGCAAGAGGCCAAAACACCAGGCTTACTGTAGGGTGTAGTTGATTTGAGCCACTGCCCTGAAGAGGTGTCATTTCTTATAAGAGGTATAGAAAACATCTTCACCAATAGGCTCAGCGAAGGCTTTGCTAACACAAAATAAAGGAAAGGGCATATTTGCGAAAGGAGAGTGTTTAGGAAGGTAATGTGGTTCAGGGAAACCTGGGTCTTGGTCCTGCTTTGGCAGCTCCCTGTACCTGTGTTTCCCCCTCACCCCCCTTCCTTTGTCTGATTTATCTGAGTAGGGTGCAAACTCTTTTCTCTCCCCGTGTTGTGAGTTACCGTCATAATCGGGACCTAACCTCACTTAGCACCTCTAGGTTCTGCTGAAATATGACCTGTTACTAACAAAGCTCACACATGGTATTTTTTTAAAAGAGTTTTCCTTTCCCACTCCACATTTTGACCAAAAACCTCCATATCTAGTCCCATTCTTACCTTGCCCCAGCAAGGAGGACCACTTTAGCATGTTTAATTCCCTTGGGGACCAGGTCCTTAATCACCTCCTGGATAATCAGAGATCCCATGAAGGCATAGTCTGCTGGAAGAAAAGATCTCCATTAAAATGACCCCATAAAGGACGTATTAGAAGGACGAAGGAGAGAAACAGCGGCGTACCTTGTCGAGCTTTGGGCAGAGTCCCACTCCAGATATCACTAGAGCAGTAAGGCACAAACCTAAACAAAGGCAGCAAAGGGAAAGCACACACATAGCATCAGCAAAGCCACCAGACAGCTCCTAAACAGACTAGAGAAACATCTGCTTTTTACCCATCACCTCCCTGCTCAGCACAGGGATGATCCAGGATAGGGCTCATACCATTATGTTAGGGGCCCACTACCACCTCGCCCTCCCCCATATTGCTAAATGGATCAGGGGAGGATGCAAGAACTATGGATCCAGGGTTTTGTCCCGGGAACAATGTGGGACCCAGACCTCCCAGCCCCATGATGGATGTAGCAGCGCAGAACCAGCAGCACTTTCATAAGAGAAGGATCCTTTCAGGAGCTATCCCCAGAATGACAGGAGGTGTTGCTCGCACTGTTAGATCATGCAATTAGCAGTCAGGAAAGGAACTGACAATTTAGCAGTTGTACAGCACTCAGGAAGGTCCTTACACGGCATTGGCGTTCCACCAGCGGGGGCTTTCTTCCATCTGACCAGACAAGATGCCCATGCCTGGCATCACAAATGCACAAACAAAACAACACAGAGAGGTGCCAGTCACGGTCTCAAAGCCAGGCTGAGTACAGCGACATTTCTCAGCTTTGGGAATCAAACAAACCCCCTGCAAGTACCTCTCAGTGTCCGCTCCTTTTCATCCCCCTTTACGGCTTGTCACCCGCACACCTTGCTCCTTCACTTCCCCCCCATTTCTTTCTACATGAAGTTCAAGTTCATTTTCTTCATCATGGAGGCTCTGAATAACCACCCCACTGAGATCAGGACATCTTCCCATTCCTCAGAGTCCTCCTAGCTCAGCTGGGCACTGACCTGAATGGAAAAGGACTTACACATGTGCTTCCCTTTAGATCCAGAGAGTAACCCTGCTGCCTTCAGCGGTACTGCTCACCGGCTCAAAGGTAAACAGGTGTTTGGGTGCACTGCCACCCATGCCAGAGGGCTCGCTACCTGGCAGGGGGAAGCCCCCTCTTTGCTCCGTTCTTTTATGGCAAGCCTCGCTTGCTGCTCAAATTACAGAAGCGCAGGGATGAAATCACTGCCCAGACCACTAACCCTGCTTCTCTTCTTAGCTATAGCAGTAACCATCTAAATGGCTATCCCCACTGACTTCAATGAAGTTACGCCAGACCTACCACACTTTAACTGGTATCTGAATCCATCCCCTTAATTTTCACAGAACTGTAATAACTATATCAATCCATTAGTAATACAGCAATTGCAGAGAATACCTTTCTTTGTTTGGGGCCAGTCAGAGGAGCTCATTAAACGGCGGATATTCTTATATCTGGTATCACAGGTTTCTTTATTATAACAGCACCAGCCACCTGGACAGAGGTAAAAAGATTCATACCCGCTAACATATGTGAGTTCAGAAGCAAGATCAGTTTGTCTTTATTACTACATTTTTGTTCCCTACTGTACCTTCTAAGAATATGATCCATTTCTTGCTCCCTCTGCTCTCCCTTAAGTAGTATCTGCAAGTGGTGGGAAAGAAGTGTGAACACCAGGCAGGTTATTTGGGGCTTTTGTATTGTCTGTAAAAAGCATGTGAGATGTAAGTGAACATTACCCAGCTGCTGTCCCATCATTACAGGTGACCCCACTGTTCCTCAGAAAGAAAAGTTTCATGTTGCTCAGGGCCTTCAAAGCAGGCGAAGGGGCTAGTGAGGGGCTTCTTAGCTGTAATGCCAATGCATCTTGCACAGGAGGAAGAACTCCTACAATAGTGTCCTCTTCAGTAGCAGTCTGGGCCAGTTCCCCGGCAGCGTTCAGACCCTTTCGACTCTGGGCAGGAGTCTTCACATTAGCTTTGGACTAACGTTTGCTTTGAGACACTGCTTCCCCCAGAAGCAACAAAGCCAGGAGTGCCCCTGGTATTTTCATAGTAAATGCCTCCTCTACGAGCTGGCAGAGAATAAACCCACACTGCATGAAAAGGCCAACATAAATATCTGGAGAAAGCAAGGTTTAACAAAGATGGCGTGGAGAATACAGACCAACAAAAAATGGACCTAGGCATGTGCACTAATATAGACACATGCATGTTAATACGCTGTAAAGATGGTGCTGCAGAGTTGAAATACCACTACCTGGTGTCAAGAATGCTGGCAAATGGTTGACCCTCAGCTAAAACCTCCTAACACCAAAGGCAAGGGAAATCCCTGATGGTCAACAAACGAAGAGTCTGAGCTGAAAAGCCAAGAGGAGTTGTTACACAGCCAGAAAGAGTACTTCTGCTCAGATCACAGCTACCAAGGACTTAATACTGTCTCATGTGGAATACATTTCTGCCTTTTTTTTTTTGAGCTGCTGCCAAGGATGGGCAGATGACAGGGGCTGGAGGAAAGATACCACACCCTGTTCTGAAGAAGTTGCAAGCTTTCTATTTGCATGCTGAAAGTCTCAATAACTATCTCCACTGGGCTTCCTGTTTTCCTGGGGGTATGAACTGGCAAGCCATTTCTATAGGATAGATTAATTTAAGTCATTTCATGAATAAGAAATGCATTTGAACCTGGTCAGAGATTTCAGCTCATTCCCTCATCAAATTATTTCAGCACAGGCCTTTCAGCTTTTCAACAAATAGCACATTTTAGTCCTAGTCCAGGTTTTGTCAGGTTTACAGATTATAGATCTGGCCTGGGAATTACGTTATACAATAGTTCTCCTAAATATATTAGAGGGAGATGCATTATTCATTATGAATAAGTGAACCTCTGAATTAATTTTGCTACTTTTAATGAATCATTCATGAACCATTTCTGATTTCTACAAACGTATTAGTTATTTGCAGCTATTCACTGAATACTTTTAGCCGAACAATGCTTATGGTTATGTGGATTCCAGTCACCTCCAGTATCTGCTAGTTACCATTTGTTGTTCAGGCTCTGTGATTGGTGACTTAAGTGACATGGCATTGATTCAACTCTCTGATTGGATGCCTGAAACCTCTTAAGCATAAAAACACATAATGAATTACAAACAAGAAACGATGATGAATTAATCAGGCGTGTGAGAGTAGAGGTAGTTTTACCAAGAACATTCCCCTGATTTTTGAATAAACAAAGATCCATTCCCACAAGTTTTCATAAAGAATTCACAACAAAAGACAGGAACATCGTTAATAGCCAGTCAGAATCTGAATAAATGCTTGCTGACCCATAGCTCCACTAGGTTCAACAAAGTTAAACCACTGTAAAACTGGCATGTGATTAAAATAAAACCTTTTGATCATCTGTTTTAGAGCGTGGGTGGAAAGGAAAAAACATAACCTAGCTTTTCTTTTGTTTCAGTTTGTAAAATACAGATTACCTTCAAGTGGAAAATCCAGACAGAAAGGAACAACCTAACCAGTTATTCAAGTCTACATCCTGAACTAATTTTTTAGTACAGTACAACTATTTCTCTCCCTTCTTTGTAACGAATTGGTAAAAATCAGAGAAAATCCTTTGCTCTTACCCTTGGCTGGGATGGAAAAACTTATCCCCCATGGAGAACACAGGAAATAACCATCACTGGCCAGAGAGGAGATGAACATTTGGAAAGAAAACACTGGCTATTTGAAAGAAGCAGACATATTTTTCAGATAGTTGGAGGGTGAGTCATTGGTCCCTAAAGGGAGTTATGAGTACAGCTCTCCCCCTCACCCATCAGTGAAATGCAGGCCATCCATATCCATCAAAGGGACTGGATGGTCCAGTGCTGGGATGCTTAACTGGAGTTATCAGAGCATTAATTTCAGAAGGCTGCCCTCCCCATGGCATCTTCTTGCAGGGACAGCGAGGCAGGTAGAGGTGGATAGGCTGAAATAGTTAATGAAGTCGAACCGTCTCCTGTGAGCTTTCATCTCCGTGCAAGAAGGGTAAGAACACATACTGTGTACAGATAGTGCAATGAGTTGTGTCTACTGCATCGTCATAACACTTCTTTCAGCTTCTTGTCTCTGGGTCGTAAACCAGCAAAAAAAGATGTTAATAAGCCAAGAGGGGCTGGAGGTTTCGTGGCCTGGAAAGGTGCCAGTGTAGTTAGTTTAGCTCCAACTCACTGTGAAAGCCCAAGCCAGCTTTCTAGTGACTGGGATTCATTTCTACCTGGTGGAAGAATAATGTTCAGAAAGGAATTAGATGTGCTAGAAAAGAATCAATGCAGGTGTTGTGACCAGGGCCAACATTACAAAATCCTCCACTGAAATTGGCTCACTTAGCTCTCCTGTTGACAACCCTCAGCAGAGGTTGAGGATTCAAGGGGTGCAATTACTTCAGCATCCAAAGGAGATCCAAAGCACATGACCCCCATATCCCCTTCAAACAGCATCACTTGAAGGACCATAGATGTTACCTTTTTTACTTTAAATGATGGCTTTAGCCCTTCCTCTCATGGGAGAGCTGTAGTTGAGGTATACTTGTTGTTGCTGCTGCTGTTATTATAAGTATTATTACTATTAAGAACAACCATCTGTATTACCATAAGACTTAGGAGTCATCTCCTCCCCTAGTGCTAGGTGCTGTACAAACATAAAACAAAGATAATGCCCACCCCAAGAACTCACAGTAAGTGCTTTTCAGGTTAAAGCTTGGACCGAATAGCCTTGCTTGAGTTTACACTTGGGTGCTTTTAGACTTGGATGACTTCACGCTATGTCTCTCTACAGGCCAGCATTCCTTTAGAAGTGTCCAAGTTTTCTCAGGATCATATATATAACTGAGTTCTTTATAAGTAACTTATAAGTACATGTCCCATTGTTTGTCAGATTAGTTACATGGTTCTCAGGAATGAAAACATCAAGAAAAAAAACAGAGAACCAGACACACCTGGCTATGATCTCATTTGATATTGGTGCAGAATGATTGTACCTGCTACTCTATTATCCTTGGAACTGCTGTTCTTAGGTTTCTCGTACATATTACAGATGCTCTGGAAGATAGGGCTTAGTATCCAGAATAACCTTCATAAACTGGAGAAATGGTCCAAAATTAATCAGATGCAATTCAGCAAAGACAACTGCTAATATAGACTGGGGAATGACAGGCTAGGGTGCTGTATGGCAGAAAAAGACCTGGCATTACAGTGGACCATAAGCTGAATAGAAGCCAGCAGTATTCTCATCTTGCAAAAAAGCCAATAGCATACCCAGTATACTAACAGGTGCCACTTGCAAATCAAGGAAAATGAGTCTGCCACTCTATTCAAAGCTGGTGAGGCTTCACCTGGAGTAATGCAGTACCATTTTGGGACCTGCACGTCAAGAAAGACGCAAATAGATTAGAAAGAGTCCAGCAGAGAGCAATAAAGAGGATTAGAGGTCTGGGAAACATGATTTATGAGGAAAGGCTGAAAGAACTGGGATTATTTGTTCTGGAGAAGAGAAGACTATGTGGGGATTTGATAATGTTCTTCAAATACCTGAAGTATAGTTATGAAGAGGACAGAGATAGACTTTTCCATGTGGCTGAAGAGGACAAGACTAGGAGCAATGGTCTCACCCTGTGGCAGGGGAAATGTAGGTTGGACATTAGGAAGAACTTTCTCACGAAGCGTTGGAACAGGCTACCTAGAGAGGATGTGGAATCTCCATCCTTGGACATTTTTAAGAGTATGTTATCCAAGTGTCTGTCTGAGATGGTTTAGTGAGGGACAATCCTGTGGCGAACAAGAGGCTGGATGAGGTTAACTTCTGAGGATGCATCAAGCTCTGGTTTTCTTTGATTTTGATGTTGCATTACTCCTGGGATGGCCTCTTGATTAAAATCGGGACATACAGATGGGTAGCACCAATAGGTACAATCGTAGTACTTCGTGCTATAGCTATGGTGGTGGATCAGGATTCGAATGGGATACCTCAGGGAACATTGTCAATGTTTTCTGCTTCTTAGGGACAGAGCTGTGGAGATCACTGAGCTTGCACAAGGCATTGTCATTTAGAGGTGATGTTCTGCCGGCCAGGATGGATTTCCAAGCACTCTCTGCTTTACTTTTCTGCCGTGTATTAACATGCATAACATTCAACATGAAATGGATTTCACATTTCACAAGTTCTGAGGAGGTTTTCAGTCCTGGAAACACCATTTTTGCCACAGGCAAACTCTTTTCCAAAGACGGCCATGTCTCCACAATGGAGGTCTCTAAGCCGACAACTCCATGCTGCTTAATGGAAGCCAAGGACGTGCTGAGGCAATCAGATTTGAACAAAGAAGTTCTTGAACCATGCTGATGCAAAATGTCTTTGAGCATCTGTCATTCCTAGGGGGAGAGAAGTGAGGGGGGTTTCTTCCTCTCTCTCTACTCATGTTTATTCAGGTCTGTTGTCTGTCACCGCCACGTGTCAGTCTCCTCTTACAGGCAGCCCTTTCCCGGGACACTGCTGCACTCGGTGTAACTAGTGACTGGTGGCTTGTGAGCACAGCTCCTTATGGATCAGCCTGAGCCTCAATTCTGAAGCGGTGAGTCCTGTTGGCCCTTTGCATGGGAACAGTTCAGGCCATTTCCACCAACCCCCCGATTCAGTCCTGAGTCAACCTGGCTGAATCTTGTTTAGAAATTCCCTTTTATTTTTTTTTGCTTGCTATCACCTTCAATCACTCCAGCAATGGGTTCATAAAACAAATGACCTCTGGCTAAACGTCTTTGAGCACCAGCTCCCTTGATGATGGCAGAAGCACATTTGTGAGATGAAGTCATCACTACTGTCACCATCATTATAGCTAACTCTCCCACTGCTTTTTCCATTAGTAGATCTCAAAGGGCTCTGGAGATCTCTCTGTGTATCATCTGCCCAGTTCAGTGCTGGTAATGAACCAGCAGAAGAAATGAAAAATGCTAGGGTCGCAGCCCCTTCATCAGTGTTCATGTCACTCCTAACCAGCTTGCGGCAGAGCTAGCGGGTGGAACAGAGGGACACGTTACCTGCGTCAAGCTCATAGCACAGAAAGAGAAGCAGGTCCCAGTCGTGGTCTCCCGCATTAGCACTCAGGGCAGCAGAGGTGGACTGCAGAGGACAGTGGGCTGGGATCCCCCTTCCACCAGCCAGGCAAGCTCAGCTCTGCCAGTGCACGGGAGAATGCAGACTGCCCTGGACATGCACCCAGTCCACAGCAACATGCTGCCTCTTACTCAGGATCTGCATCAAAGCCACGGCTCTGTTTCACAGGCATCAGACTCCTACCACCACTGAATTTCACTCAGAGTTAAGTGCCTCATCTTAAGTTGGGAGCCTGACTCATTAACAACTATTGTCACACGTATTCATTTACTGGTGTAAATGCACTGATGTAACAGTGCCCATTTCCCATCACACTAGGCACTGTACACATACATGCAGTATAAGAAGCCAATCCTGCCTAAACACCAATTTTAAGGGATTTGCACACACTTGTGTCTGCTTATTTTACAAATCAATAGACTATTTTGTCTCTTCTTGGGTCAGAGATGGACAGAAGAGTAAAATGGGCAACCCCACTTTGAAGTGCAATTGCAAGTGCTGCTAAATACAAGCTTCACATGAGAGACTGCTCTTCGGTGCGCCTATTATGTTCTGCTTATGCTCTAAAATGCAGTCAACTCACCACATTCGCATGTCTGATCTCCAAAAACCTGAAGACACCTGGAGGCTGATAAATCAGTTTTGTTCCAGCTTTGTATTGTCTGCGTGGAAAATTCCCATTTGTCTTCTGAAAACTACTGAGCTGTCTGTTCAGTGGATATTTCACGAGCCTAATAAATGAACAAATTGTTGTAAATCCATCATCCCATTTCTCAAATTCAGCCAGAAGCTCTTCTTCACAAGCATTATATAAAACCTAAAATAAAGTCGCATCCTGGGTTTGGTGGTTAGTACAACCAAGTGGTTTTATTTTTGAGGTATATAAATTTGAAGCATACAACAGTGAATTCCCCCAGTGTCAAATATGAAACGTTAATGAAAATGGCTGTGTGTTCACTGAAATGAGCATTCAATTATAATTACATGGAGGTTTTCATTTAATTTGTATGCATTTATTTGAATAATTTAACAATGCACACTCCTAATTCTCGTGAATTTTAGAATCCGTTCACAACACGCAAACAGTCCTTCACCACAAGGTTTTATTGATAGCTTGAAAATTACTGTGCAGCCTTGTGACAAGGCATTTGAATGATTTGCCCATCCCTTACATCTCTGGAGGAGGCTGCTGTTCTGCTCCATCTACTCTGTTAAAAATATCATCTATTTGGATAGCACCAGTCAGTCAGCGCTTCAACTCCTGCTCAGGATGGAAGTCTTCTCCCTTGGGGATTCAATGGCATTTTAGAATCCAGTTTTATTGACTTAGTTGCACTTTGCCCGAAGTCTTATCTGAGCGTTTGCTACACCTGAGCTGGTTTGCTAAATGTGTTTCAGTGGGATAGTGAAAGGTGGAGTCCTCATTTGACTAGAACGCCCAAGGGCTAGAATAGGTCAGGACCTGAACTCGAAATCAGCACATTCCCTTTAAACTGAGCCCAGATTCACTGCAGGTGGTAGTGACCCTTAGCCAGCACGTTGGCAAAACCCAGGCTGAGTTCTGAGTCTATAAGGACGTTCGAAACCAGACAGGTCCTGCACCTCCGTCCAGCTCCACGTTCTGTCAGCGACCTATAGTTTGAACAGACCAGGTCCAGCTTAGTCCTGACTAACTTCCCAGTCTAAAGGCCTTGAATCAGGTGGAGCTCTGAGTCCATAACGGAGCAGTGTGCGCAGGACTAGTGTCCACATCGGCTCCGTGATCTCTGGGAGCTATGTAGTTGTCTCAAAGACAACACATGATTGAGCAAATTAATACTGTCATCATCGGTCATTGACCGTGAATGTGCTGCAGCCTGCATGCGATGGTATAAATTTGCATGCAGTCTGTGGTTACCTGTATGTGCCCTGTTGCAGACTGCATGTACATATACATGCCAGTGTAGTCTGCCATTGATTGCATATGTCACAGCACCACTTTCACAGGAATCTTTGGGAACATGGTTTAAATAAAAGGCCTATTACTTACTCCTTGCACTGAACAAGGGATATACAACATTAATAGGCAGACACAGAAACCTAAATGATTAGTATTGACCTTTCATCCATTCATATGTGAAAAAAATCAATTCCCACTATAATACCTGTGCTTGTAACTCATTATATTCAGTACAAGACTTGGAAGCAGTTAAAGAATAAAATAGTGCAACACAAGATAATCTGGTTATAGCTGTACTTGCCCAATAACATGATTATGTTTTTCCCCTCAGAAGCTACAGGGCACTTTCTAGGGCAGGTAAAGTGATTTTTTAGAAGCCAAGGAAAGCAAAATAA